TGTTTGTTCTTTTCTTAGGGTTTTCTATTTGCTCAAAGATAAAACATTATTTAGGTATTATTTGCACCATTGATCTTTCTTAGTGTCAACCAAAGACAGATCCCTCAGCATGATGCACCCTCACCATGCTTTAATGTTGCGTTCTTAGGATGAAAAGAGGAGTTGGGTTGCCTGCAATGTTTAAAATCTACTGTGATGATTTGAAAGTATTATCTTGAGTGTTGCAATACAAATAAACATGCACTGGCCCATCCGCCCGTCTCTCCGAGTCACGAATGGCTGGTGCTTATCTCCAAACATCTTTGAGCAAAACCCAGTTACACCCTGGACAGGTTGCCAGTCTATTACACACACCCACATCTAAGGGCAATTTTAGGATGCCAGTTAAATCTAATGTTCCTGTTTGGGACTGTAAAGTATTGTGTTCGGGTCTGTTGCATAATATTAAATGAAAAAAAAAGACAAAAACATTTTATTCCAGATTCTCTAGGACAAAGAAAAAAAATAAACATTTGGGCCCCTGTTGCACTAGCTGAGGGTTGTTTTAATCCTAGAGCCTGTGTGACTTTTACTGCTGATCATACATTGCTGTTGATCATTCCTACAGTTATGCAGACAATGTACCCAACTTCTGATGGTTTCCTCCATAAAAATAAGGCATCCTGTCACAAAGCTATATTAGATCTTAAACATGTTGAAAATTACGACCGCCAATCATGTTCTATCATAAAGTGACAGACATGGAGCCATGGACAGAGGATCCAATGATGTTATATCAGTAGGCGGGACTCAGGAGCAGCGGAACAGAGAGACAGAAATGCTCACTGAAAACTCTCAGAACACACACAGCTGGGCGCGACCTGAGGTTACTGTTGTTGGCTAAAGTAAATGAGCCGAAACCAAATCTTCAAATTATTGGTGGGGACTGTCCCCACCCATTTCAAAGTTGGTGGGTACATGTCCACACCAGTCCTTCAGAAAGTTACGCCAGTGTCTCAAGGCACTTTACCGTTCACCATATCATACAGTCAGATTGATTCAAAGTTTTCTATCTAATGAAAACCAGTTGATTGCATCGACTCATTGACTCGAAGGCAATCCCTCATACTAAGCATGCTTTTAGTGGCAGTGGAGAGGAAAAACTCTCTTTTAACAGGAAGAAACCTCCAGCAGAACCAGGCTCAGTGTGAGCAGCCATCTGCTGAGGCCAACTGGGGTTCAAGAGACAGAAGCAGAGATACAAAAAGAAGAAGAGATACAAAAAGCAACACACAGCCAGGCGGACGAGCTCCGAGCCAACTTCCATGTCAGAGGAAGAAGAGCACACATTCAGCCAGTCACAGTAAGAGAAACAGGACTACACTGAAAAACATCTACAAAAAAAGGTGTTGATGGCAGCAACACAGCTGATATTTCTCTCCAGGATGGGAAATATCACCCAAATAAACCATATTTCAATTAACTCTACTTTGAGTCCTCCCCGGATGACCGAGGTCCTCACCCTATCTCTAAGGGAGAGCCCAGACACACTACAGAGAAAACTCATTTCAGCCCCTTGTATCCGGGATCTCATTCTTTCGGTCATGACCCAAAGTTCATTACTATAGATGATGTTTTTTGGCTCACCACACTGTTGTTTTACCACAACAGACTGATACAGGGCCCACTCACGGCAGACGCCACACCAATCTGCCTATCGATCTCCCGCTCCATCTTCCCCTCATTCGTGAACAAGACCCCAGATACTTAAACTCCTCCACTAGGGGCAGTACATCCTCCCCAACCTGGAGAAGGCACTCTACCATTTTCTGGCTCAAGACCATGGTCTCGGATTTGGAGGCACTGATCCTCATCCCGGCCGCTTCACACTCTGCTGTGAACCACTCCAGCGAGAGCTGTAGATCATGCTCTGATGAAGCCAACAGAACCAGATCATCTGCACATAATCGATGACAAAGGGCAACCTTGGCGGAGTCCAACCCTCACCGGAAACGAGTCCGACTCACTGCAAGCAATGCGGACCAGGCTCTGACACCGGTCATACAGGGAACTAACAGCCAATATTAAAGGGTTGTCTTGTAGATGCATAAATCGTCTTTCAGAAAGTAGAAACCCTGCCTAGTTTTTCAGAAGTGATTAAGGAGTGCAGAGCTGAGCTAATGAGCTCACGTTGGAGTCAGGTGTTTTCCAGCAGGGATGCATCAAAAGGCTGCAGAAGACTGACTTTTGAGGACTGAAGAGTGAGAGCACGGTATTAGTCAATGTCTATTGAAAGGAGATGTAAATGCAAATGGTTAAAACTAATCTATGTAAAGTTTTTTACTTTGCAGTTTTTATAGCCTGTTTTATCAGACTGCAAACAGCTCTACATGGATTATTAAGCAAAATGTTGTTTGTTGAGAGATGTACTCTTTTTGTTACACAGAGAGGGGTTGTGTTTTTGTGAGGATTCCTCCCCTCAGCTGTACTTGTGTCACTGAAGCACAAGACCAGTATTGGTGGGGGTAGGAGGGGATCACCTTCCTCTTCTTCTGGATCCTTTCTTCCCCGAGTAAAGCAGACCTCTGGTCTTCAGCCTGTACCCACAGAGAATGGTTTTATCATATATGGACAAGAAAGCCCTTTACCACAGCTGTAAAAAAGCAATTAACCAAAGACATCTTCAGAACTGGCTGGTCTGCATCTGGACAGAAGAGTGAGTGCTTGTTGCTATGATTTTTCTTTGCTCAGCAGCTTCGCTTGTTGTAAACCAACCAATCGGCGCACAGGTAATCTGTATATTCATGAGCATACCATAAAAGGAAAAAAAACTGTCGTTTCATTCTAGGGCTTTTAACCAGGCTTGCATTAGGGCTCATTGAACAGCAAATACATCATTTTCAGCCCAACCAATGTTACACACCCTATTCAGAGACCTTAAGGACTAGCAACAAACACCCTTTAGCCTTTTAATGAGGGTTTTTTTGGGATGGTTTTTACAAACACTCATTTTATAGTAGGAGCCAGTATAGGAAAATCAAGCCAAAGGCTCAACTTTAACATTTTTTAATCAGTGAAGCAAAGGCGGCCCTTTACTTGTCCCGCAGAGACTGTAGGAGGCCCTCACCTTGATGCTGTGGCTCTGTGGAAATGCAACTTTAAAACCAGAATAAGGCTGGAGTTTCAAATCTACAGAGCCACACAGAACATGGAGGATTTCATTCAGTTCTGGGGTTTTTAACAAAATTTTATGTACTGTGTCAGATGATGGAGATTTACAGTTTAACAATTGAACAAGCTCCTCATTTAAAGGGGAACGCTGTATTTTTTTTTTTACATTGGGGCCTTGATTTTAGTTTTTGCCTTCAAATCGGAATATCTTCAAAACGGCTCCAAATGACAGAAAACTCTTATGGCTAAGTAGAACATTATGTAATAACGTAAAATTGAGGGTCCAATGTAAAAAAAAAAAACAATTTCCCCTTTAGTGATTTTTAGCTGACACTTGTTTTACATCAATAATTGATTCTATTATTGATTTGTGTAAATAAATTGCTATTAAAAGTAAAAATAAAAAGTCTTCTTTAGTTTAGACAGATCGCAACCAACTAAGGTGCATGTACCACCACTTACCAGATGAGTGTGGTCATCGATGATGTCCGAAGGAACTACATACCTCAGTGGTATGCACAAATCTGCAAATTTATATCCATGCACACTCACATATACATTTGCATTCATACACAAACTTGTATACATAATTTAAATGCGATTAAATAATCAAGTGTTTTTTTTTATCTATTTAATTAATTTCTAAAGAATTTGGTTTATTTCCTATAAAATTTATCATAGAAAATCTAATTTTCTCTGTTTAGTATTGACTTTGAACGATGACATTCATCTGAATGGGGGGTCCCCTCAAGGTTAGATCCCTAAAAGAAGCATCTCCATTGGCTGCGGCCTGTCGTAACAAGGGATTGAAACCCGAAACTCTCTCCCCACCCTCCCTAAATAACGCACCAAGCCAACCAGTCCTCCTCCCCCCCTCCTCATGGCTCCTGATCTGCTCTTCCACATCCATTGTCAGTTTTGGCCTGGTCGTCTGTCAGCTTTCTGTCTCAGGTCAGCCTTTTCCAAACCCCAACCACTGACACAAATTCGCATTAACAGAAATATTTACGCTTACAGAGAAAAAAAAAAAAGACTAAACCACACAAACATGCCCCTTTACCCAGACAGATAGGCCCGCACAGAACTAGGATTATCCTAATGGTGCTTTCACGTACTGTTTATTTATTCACCAATTGTGAAGTCTACTAATTTCATATTGGTGCGGTTAGTTCTGGAATTTTCATTCCAGAACTAACTGGAATTTTTACTCCAGAGTCTCTGAGTGTGTCAGGTTTTAGTCTAGTCCTTGACTTCTTCAAACAGTCGGTTACTGCTTGATTTCTTTGACAGGCAATAGATGATAATTTCCGTTTTATCATCCACAGAGCATGTAAAACAATAAACTCATTTTGTAATGACTTAAACAACCTTTATTGTCAGTTTGTATATACAGGGTGTTTATACAAAGGGAAATTTCGTTTATGAAGCTTTCCGAAGCTAGTGATTTTTAGCAGCGACTTAGCAGTGAAAAGTACCATTTATAAAGCCATAATAAATAATTTGAAAAATATTGGTCTGAATTGAAATTCTGATTGTTTCTGCGTCCTTGAAGGTAACAGCTTCTCAGAGACTGAGTCCGTCCCATGGAGAAATTTGATTGGCCGCAGCGAACGTCTTTCACTTGTGGGCGGGGCATGAGCCTTCAGCTTCTGCTCCGCACCAACAGAGCACAGACAACTGCTCTCAGCAGCGGAGGAAGGCGACGAAGAGCCATTGCCAGAGCGCATTAAGCGATGGCTCTAGCCTGAGTTTTACTTCTAATTCTCTGTCCGAGCTGCGCTGTAAAAAACATGGCGTGAGACGAGACGTGTGACAGTAAGAGCGAAGGCTGTCGGGGGAGTTTACTGCCTGGAAGTTTTTCCTCCTGTTGTTTCTCCGTCGGGGTGTCCCGACGGCGGCGGCGGAGGTGGCGGCGGCTCTCTCCCCGGAGCGGTGTCCCGATCTGCCCAGCCCCATGCAAAACGTAACGGCCCCTGGCGGCTCTGGCAACTCCAATGTCACCTGCTCCTGCAACTGCACCGCTTCCCAGCCACAGGGAATGGAGATATGTGAGTAACATTCGCTGCTCCTCTCACGGTCTCCTGGCCTTAAAAGCTACTCTCAGACTGTATTGCCCTAATGCGTTTTCTTTTACCACATAGCAACAACATATTAGACTTGATTTTTATCCAACATGGTTGAACAGCTCGGCGCAGGGCTTAATATTCCTCGCATTAAAATCTAAAAATCCTCTTTTAGGACCGGCAGTTTGTCCTCTCTGTCTGGAACAAACTTAGGCCAACTTCATGGAACCTTTACCCCTAAACTCGATAAAGATTATTGTTTTCAACATAGAAAGCTACTAAGAATGCTAACTATTCACATCACTGTGTGTTTGGTGTAAAAGCTGCATAGCATTATCATTTGCAGTTAGTTAAATTAGTTATTACTTTATAAGGAGTGTTCTTGACATGTTTCGCCCCTAAAGTGGCGCATATGCTGTGAGAAATGAGCGCACAGGGTTAAATAGTTTGCCTGTCAGCGCAGACAGGAAACGCTGGAATGGTATGTTATGTCTGTGCTCTTAGTAGCCCAGAGAGAAACTATCATTATCCTGCTGCTGGCTGCCTTCTTGATCCACTGCAGATGTTCCTGTTTATGGCCGAGGCAGGGCGTTCAGGAGAGCAGACAGGCTGCAAAGCAATGCAGAGGACACACACACACGAATTGGGGGGGGTATTTGCTGGCAGTGTGGCAGATCCACTGACAGACAAAGGCAAACAAACAGGAGAGGACCACATAGCAGACAGAGCAGACAAGGCGGGAGGATTCATAACCAGTCAGCCAGACAAGTACTGACAGAGAGGAACAGACACCTCCCCAGCCAGACAGGCGTATGTACTGACTGACTGACTGACTGACTGCCAGTCTAACACAGACAGACAGAATTACTGTGATGTGTAATTTCCATAGGTGCTGAGGCCAGAGCTGGGCAACATGAGATGAAGGCAGGATATTAGATTTTGATCTGGCAGCTGAGTGTGGTAGTGCTGACGCCACATTGTAACCAAGAACGAGTGCATCTAGTTGAGGAGCCGGTGTTCCTCAATTCTGCTGCTCCATGGTTCTGCTTGCCAGGAAAAATACACATCAACCGGCACACGAACATGTCCATCGATGCAGCAGCAGGCCTAATTAGTTCATTCAGGGATGGATGGAAGGTGGGAGGCTAAGGGATGACTTGACTTCTTCAAACAGGAAGCAGAAACTGTAGAGCTTACAGGGCTGCATGTATGTGGGTGCTTTGGGATAAATACCTTACTGGTTATTTTCAGCAAGTTTGGCTGTCTGAATGTTTCACTAGTTTGAGGCAGCTCCTTTCAAAAGTGGTTTGAAATAGTGCTGCCCTGCTGTAGTGGCCGTCTGCTTTGAAAAGAGCTCTTGTTTGTCGGCTGTGTTGTCATGCAGACTGCAGGGCTGAATAATGCAGCTCATGCTTTGATGATTTATCTGGCTAAAGAAAAGAGCTACAGTCAGTCTCATCTCTCCTTTTTTTTCTCCCTTCTTTCTTTCCCTAAGCCAGAGCGAGCCGTATCGCTTGTAAGTTTACTCTTTTCTTTCTACAAGGAAAATTGAAAGAGACCTCGAACATAGAAGGATCACAAGTCAAACAGGGTGTCACGGCCAGGGGCTGAACCCCTTCCCACACATTTGGTTTTCATGTGGGATTTGAAAGGCAGGGCTCCTGTTGGAAGCTCTCTTCCCCGGCTGTTGCTATGTTCACATTGTAGTTGAAATATAAAGGAGTCGCAAAGTCGAGCAGTTGTAGGTGAGCTTTCCTGGATGTTAACTTACACTTACGCGTCAGATGGGGAAGGCTTTTAAACTACACGCCTGCTTGCTGTGTTTTGTGAATGTTTGGTACCCACTGGGTGAGTTTACAAGCCTGTATTCAGCAAACATTTTTCACTCCAAAGCTATTTAATCTAAAATCGACACTTTCTGTTGCCTTCATTCTCTAAAGCCTTATCTTTCTGTGGGGAAATTCTGTGAGGACGTTTCTGTTTAACCCAATGCTAATTCCCTTTTCCTTTCCATTATACTTTTTTTTTCTTTATGTCTTATTGTAAAATGGATTATTGAAGACTCTTAGTAAAAAGAATCAGCAACCAAATTCAACCAAAGATCAGAGGAAATCTATCCCACAGTCAGTATCTTCAGTTTAAACGCCCTTGCTTATAAAATCATCTCTTACACAATTCTGATTGCCAACAAGTTATTTTTATGTAAAATAAATATTTTCACCTCCTACAATAAATGATAATGTTTTGCATTTTACTAGAGCTACATCAGGTTTGCAAATATCGGAAAAGGTTGCAATGAAGATTGATAATGTAAAGATTAATGATGTGACTTATGATAAACAATAAAAAAAATAAGTGTTTTTATATTTTTGGTTTGGGTTAATTGCGAACATAGAGGCAGTATAGAGAGGGAAATGTTTTCCATCTGTAAGACAGAATTTAATGAAAACATGTTCTGTTGGTAATGAGGACATTTAGTCAAAATGTTTAATGATGTCCACTTCACCATTTCTTTAAACTTTTTTAAAACAAAAACACAAATCGATTTTGGGCATCAAAACATTGAATGTAAAATACCTAAATAGAAATGAAACACTTAAGTCCTGAAAATGGCAACTAATAGCGCTAAATTGTTGTTATGGCAATAATAATAAATAGATATGACTTTTTGAATGTTCGGAAAGCTATTGAAAATGAAATTTCATCTTCTACACATTTTGAACACACTCAGAAACTAGAAGGTTTTAGCTTTCAAATAATGTAATTTGGGCTTACAGTTCCTAAGTTATTTGCTTTTTCATTTGGGTATCCTAAATAGGTGAGAATTTCCCAAAATGAGGTGGAGGTTAAGAGGTTATGTATTGGTGGGAGTGGAGCGCCTAGAGGAAGCAGCCTGCCCTGTAAGTTGTGTTATGTAGCCGATGTTGGAGTCAGCTGGCTGAGATCTCCACTCAGATCCACATGGCTTCTTGTTAACTCTGTCTAAAACTTAGGCCTTTTGGACACAGCAGTGTTTTTACGGTCAAAACAGAAAGGTAAATGTATTAGTAACTCTCCCTGTTCGTGTAAACCATTTGTTTTCTCTAAAAAGGTTGACTTCCCTTTTAGTAGTAGACCTGAAACATGCGTGGTACGACCTACAAGTGGTGCTCTGGTGCTTTTAGCCACACATGAAGACACTGCCAACTAGTGGGGGGTCAAAGAAACGACACGGTTTCTAATGTTTCTATGTGTGTTTGGTGCTCTGGGATGATAATTAAAAGTTCCTCATGTTGACAGAAATGGAACAGAGCTGTTATCAGTGGATCTTGGTCGGGGGCACAGCGTCTTAGCCAGATGTTGGTTCAGCTATTTGAAATCATGCGGTATCATCTCAGGCTGGAAATTGGAATTTCTTACTGCTTTCAGAGCCTTCTTTTTGTTAGGTGCCGTTACCAAAGTTAAGTTGAGTTCCAGACTTTATACAGTAGCCCAACAAAGCCTTGTTTTTGTTTAGAAAACTGCAAATTGGAACGGATGCATGTTTTCTATGACCTGGATGACTGAGAATCTTCACCTGCACTTGTCTTGTTCTGTGAGGTGTTGATGCGTCGAGCATAAACCAACCTCAATTCTTTATAAAAAGCAGCGGCTGATCATTATCGTAATATAAAACAGTAGTGGAACTTTTTGTTTTAACAATAACCAATCAGCTGTATTGAATGTGTTGCTCTGGCTTTAAAAAAGATGTTCCAGGAAATGTTGATGTATAAAAATAAAAAAAAAAGGGAAGCAATTTTACAATTTTGCTGCTGGGTCGTCTGGTGTTTGTGAACATTTTTTTGACGACCCTCACTGTTTAAAACCTCCTGGAGAATAAAACTCACAGTTTAAACTCTTCTTTACTTTTCTGGTCCAGGGTAACTTAAAGAAGCACCATCTGAACTTAACACAATATTAGAAAATACAGTTGGTTAGCTTAGTTCTCTCTGCTCTCCACTCCAAGCCAGCAGTGTCATCACTTGCTGCTAGGACTCCTTTTGTGTCTAGATTTTGCTCCCCCATCACACTCACAGCCACAGTCCAGACCTACTCCCCGAGTTCCCAAAATGCCCCTGGGACTGGGACAGATTTGTATTTTTAGTGTGTTGGAAGACAGGCCATCCGTCAAGTACCGGTAAGTGTATGACGGGGATGGCTGTAGGAGGATAGAGGTGGGGGGGAGGGTCTAGTAGTCTGATGTCTCGGTCAGCATCTATTTACACACATTTGGGCTGTCTGGGATGTTAAAGAGCTCCTTTCTTCTGACTCCATGTCTGTAGGCATGGATTGGAGCTATTACAGTCAAATAAGATGCTGTTTTCCAAACATGCTGGCAGACAGTACAAAGGCAGCTTTTACCCCCCCTTGTTGTTGACCTGTTTTTTTTATTTTTTTTATTTTTTACATACAGACAAATCAAATGATTGGCATGCTTATTAGCTTCCATGAACCTCTCTGCTTTGAAATTTACAAACGGTGCAGAGCATCGAATGAAACAATACAAGCTCAAAAGGATAAAAAAACAACAAATGCTGTACCACCCGCTGTTTTTCTCTTAATCCGTTTGTTTATGTGAGCAGGAACACCCAGACAGGAATAATGGCATGTCTCTTCAAGTGGTTAGTAGGGTTTTCCCTGGATTTCAGGGGGCTTACATGGAAAACAATCCTGTGACGTGGCACTGCTTCTGGGGCTGTTTAAAAGCCTCTGTGATCATTTCAGTACAGGACCTGAAATGCTTTAAGCAGCATCTCAAAATCGCTTTTTTGGAGAATTATCAGAAGCCAACCGTTTTCTAATGATTTACAAGGAAATATTTAGCATTAGTCCATGAAGGTCAAATGGCCGCAGCAGATGAGTAGACACGGTCAGAATATCTGATTGTTTAGCAAATTCTTTAAACATAGAGACTAAAATATGAAATTATTACATACTGTTCTATAAATTATGTTTTTTTTTAACTA